TGTTGTATTCGAAGTATTCGAATTATAGAATTTCTATTCGATTCGGACCCAAGCAGAGAAGAAAGCGATTTCGTAATCTTTTCCTGTCATTTGATAGCTCTCATTTCTTGATTCTCTGTTCATGAAGTATTCTCTATCTTACTCCATTTCATGTCTTGCCGCTGATCCAACTTTTTGCTTCTTCAAAACCAAAAATTTTGTCTTCCATATACCTTAATGATATTTGTTTGGGTATGTTTTGATTTGATTCTTCAGGGATAGTAACCCAAGATTTTGCTTTTTTTTTTCTTGTGTCTGTTACTTCATTACCATGATAAATAGTAGCGTTCCGTCCTTTTAAAAGAATTAGTCTGAGTGAGGATCTACTGTCTAGACACCTTGTTTGTGCATGTGATGGGCGAGTAATGGATGAGTTCGTTGAGATAATGTGCTCAACTTCCTCTTACTTTGACTAGACAATTTTCTGTATTTTTTTAAATCACTGCAAAAAGCGCTTTATTGTGTGTGTAACGGCGTCAATGTTTCGGTGGTCTAGGACGGCAACCTCTTTTCTTGTCTTGGCTGAAACGTTAACACTTCTTTTGAGCTATAGAACGACGTAGCTTTGATTTACCACTCTTTCGCATTCGTTATTGCTAGTAAGGAAGTTGCCAGAAGAAGAAAGAAGAATAGAAGCTTCATATTTGTTCGCACTTGCACCTTGAGGAGAAGTCTGAAAATTTAGATAATCATTTACAGTGGAAAGCGCAGAAGAGTGACAGTTACAGCAATTGCACTTCTAGAGAAGATTGAACATTAAAAACAGTGAAATAAAGCAATTTAATTGTCGTGCATTTAGGAAAGGAGGAGCCGAGCTGTTTTTGCAACGATTGAAGAAGTGGGCTAAGATGCAAGATCAAGACGCTGGGATTCCTAGTTAATAATCTAGAAATCTTCGCGAATTGACTGCCTGCGGGCCACTGCGAGTATTTATGTCTTGCTTATGCCTCTGCCTCAAGCTGACCAAACACACCAATCACAGGAATGAATGGAAATGTACACAGTTTGACAGTAGCATTTCTTCTGCAAACACTCTTCTGACTTCCCTATATCGTTACGAGAGATCAGCAACAAATCGCTTCAATAAAATGAAGCAATTAGCGGTCATAGAGTTTATTCCACGAGTAGAAAAACTGTTTTAGATAATGCTTTGGAATGCTAGGAAAAAAATCAAAGCAGCTAAATGACTCTAAGTATCTCTAGCATGGCAAACGTATTTTTAGTGTAGTCGCCATTACCCCACTGTTGCCCAGTGGGCGAATTCGAATTTGAACTGGAGCGGGCCGTTTGCGGCAAAGCGAGGCACCTCAGCCCTCAGTCCCAATTTACGCATAGTTCCTTATCGTTTTTTTGGCATTTGTTTGTCAATCTTTGGAATGTAAGGTATGCTCGCTAGCAAAATCAATTTCGATCCGCTATGCTCATTACTTCCACTCTGTATACAAGTTAGCTTGGAGAAACGATAGAGATGGGTAACATGTGCTGTAAGCCCTTTCTCTATAACTAACATGTGCGGAAGTACTGCTCCAGTGAACTATACGTCACAAAATCGACATCTTCGTCGTTTCTCAAAGCGCACTTACAAGGGAACGATCCCAACTTAAGGTGGCGAATTGGAATGAACCGCATATCATTAGATGCGTCTTGATGAGCTGATTGCAAAACTACCTTCCATATCTGCGACAACGTTATCTGGAAGAAGTTATGAAAAATTAAAAACGTGAAGTACTGGGGCTTTTAGTGCATAATTCGCTTCAAAATCCAACTTGGGAGTGTATGACTAGCATGATATTGAGTGTACTGATTTCAAGGAATGCTCACACTCTAAAGAAACACAAATACGTGTTTTTGAACAACTAATTTTCGAAGTTTTGCTATGTATATTTGCCAAATTTAGACTTTTCATTGCTCATAGCTTTTACCAAAGAACTTTCGTTGCTTTTTAGCTGTTCAAAAACATTTATTTGCGTTTCTTTTGAATGTGAGCATTCCGTGAAATCAGTACACTCAGTATGATGCTAGTCGTACACTTCCAAGTTGGATTTTAAAGCAAATTATGCATCAAAAACCCCCTTTACTTCACATTTTTAACCTTTCATAAATTCTTCCAGATAACGTTGTCGCAGATATGGAAGGTAGATTTGGAATCAGCTTATCAAGACGCACCTAAAGGTATGCGGTTTATTCCAAATCGCCCTTAAGTTGGGATCGTTCCCTTGTTAGACAAAAGCCGAGCGACTAGTGGGGTGAGAACGATTATAGCACTCAAGAACTACTATATGCTCGATCCATATCAGTGCAAATTTCTTAATTCTTAGGGATATCCATATTGAGTTGAAAGCCAGTTCTTTGATGAAGTACCATGTACACTGTACAAATCATCAAAGCAAAAGGGACCAAAATTAAACAAATTGTGTGCAAAGACTTTGAACACCTCCATGTAAAGTTACCAAAGTTGTTGAATACCGTTCAGTACACAATGAAGTTGTTGACATTCATGGCTGATGCGACATCTACAAGGTGCTCGACAAGTTTGGATTTTGAGCGTAATTTTGGTGTTAAGTATGCGCTCAATATGTCTGTTTACAATGACAGTTTGAATGCACACAACATATATGATGAAGCCGCATCTTCTGCACTTGACGCTGTACATGGTTTCATCTTCATCTTCACCGAAGTGACTTTGGGACTTATAAAAGCTCAGTGCATGTTGAGTGTCCAGTGTTATGGAATGCGCTTGCGAATGATTTGTTTTCTGCACAGAACGTATTTTTCTTGCCTTTCAAAATAGCTGGCTTCTCTCACTTTTGAAACCAAGTTAATCATGTTTGAATGCCCGCTTTCTGGACTTTGGGAAACACTAGAAAATGTAATAAGTAATGGTTTGTAGAGCTTTTGATGTAATTTGACTTCTGAGTATGGGACTAGTACACAACTTATAAAGCAAGTCTTCGGTGATCTTACGTTATGGGAAGAGATGGAAAATTGAAATTTAGCTGAGACTGTAACTGTGAAGTTAATCACTATGCTTCTGGTGAAGTTGTAGAATACACCGATGTTTTCTTCTTCACCTTACTCAATCGTAGTACTTCCAAGTTTTTGAAAAAAATTCGACTCTTGACTATGACCTACCCCCCTCCATTGTTACCCTCCAATACGGCCCCCACGTGGGCACGCCTGACCCTACGCTCACAGCTGATGATATTAAAATATATTTTTGCTATAAACAAGCTCAATAAGCCGAAGCTTTCAAAGCAGTTTCATCTTCAGCATTTGATATGGCATTGTGGTCTGAGTGTCGGAGCCTCCCAGTAAACCGGCGAAAACTACAGTGTTGCATCTTGTTGTATCTTTCTTATGGTTTCAAAAGTGAGAGAAGCCAGTTCTTATTCTGAAAGACAAGAAAAATACGTTTTTGTGCAGAAAACAAATCATCCACAAGTGCATTCCATAACACTGGACACTCAGCATGCACTGAGCTTTCGTAAGTCCCAAAGTCACTTCGGTGAAGATGAAGATGAAACCATGTACAGCGTCAAGTGCAGAAGATGCGGCTTCATCATATATGTTGTGTGCATTCGAACTGTCATTGTAAAAGGACATATTGAGCGCATCTTAACAGCAAAATTACGCTCAAAATCCAAACTTGTCGAGCACTCGTAGATGTCGCATCAGCCATGAATGTCAACAACTTCATTGTGTACTGAACGGTATGCAACAACTTTGGTAACTTTACATGGAGGTGTTCAAAGTCTTTGCACACAATTTGTTTAATTTGGGTCTCTTTTGCTTTGATGATTTGTACAATGTACATGGTACTTCATCAAAGAACTGGCTTTCAACTCAATATGGATATCCCTACGAATTAAGAAATTTGCACTGATATGGATCGAGCATATAGTGGTTCTTAAGTGCAGTAGTCGTTTTCACCCCGCTAGTCGCTCGGCTTTTGTCTAAGTGCGCTTTGAGAAACGACGAAGATGTCGATTTTGTGACGTATAGTTCACTGGAGCAGTACTTCCGCACATGTTAGTTATAGAGAAAGGGCTTACAGCACATGTTACCCATCTCTATCGTTTCTCCAAGCTAACTTGTATACAGAGTGGAAGTAATGAGCATAGCAGAACGAAATTGATTTTGCTAGCGAACATACCAACAACATAACATACCGACAAACAAATGCCAACAAAAACGATAAGGAACTATGCGTAAATTAGGACTGAGGGCTGAGGTGCCTCGCTTCGCCGCAAACGGCCCGCTCCAGTTCAAATTCGAATTCTCCCACTGGGCAACAGTGGGGTAATGGCGACTACACTAGGAATACGTTTACGAGCGTTTTTGCCATGCTATAGGTACTTAGACTCCTTTAGCTGCTTTGATTTTTTTCACAGCATTCCAAAGCATTATCTAAAACAGTTTTTCTACTCGTGGAATAAACTCTATGACCGCTAATTGCTTCATTTCATTGAAGCGATTTGTTGCTGATCTCTCGTAACGATATAGGGAAGTCAGAAGAGTGTTTGCAGAAGAAATGCTACTGTCAAACTGTGTACATTTCCATTCATTCCTGTGATTGGTGTGTTTGGTCAGCTTGAGGCAGAGGCAAAGCAAGACATAAATACCCGCAGTGGCCCGCAGGCAGTCAATTCGCGAAGATTTCTAGATTATTAACTAGGAATCCCAGCGTCTTGATCTTGCATCTTAGCCCACTTCTTCAATCGTTGCAAAAACAACTCGGCTCCTCCTTTCCTAAATGCACGACAATTAAATTGCTTTATTTCACTGTTTTTAATGTTCAATCTTCTCTAGAAGTGCAATTGCTGTAACTGTCACTCTTCTGCGCTTTCCACTGTAAATGATTATCTAAATTTTCAGACTTCTCCTCAAGGTGCAAGTGCGAACAAATATGAAGCTTCTATTCTTCTTTCTTCTTCTGGCAACTTCCTTACTAGCAATAACGAATGCGAAAGAGTGGTAAATCAAAGCTACGTCGTTCTATAGCTCAAAAGAAATGTTAACGTTTCAGCCAAGACAAGAAAAGAGGTTGCCGTCCTAGACCACCGAAACATTGACGTCGTTACACACACAATAAAGCGCTTTTTGCAGTGATTTAAAAAAATACAGAAAATTGTCTAGTCAAAGTAAGAGGAAGTTGAGCACATTATCTCAACGAACTCATCCATTACTCGCCCATCACATGCACAAACAAGGTGTCTAGACAGTAGATCCTCACTCAGACTAATTCTTTTAAAAGGACGGAACGCTACTATTTATCATGGTAATGAAGTAACAGACACAAGAAAAAAAAAAGCAAAATCTTGGGTTACTATCCCTGAAGAATCAAATCAAAACATACCCAAACAAATATCATTAAGGTATATGGAAGACAAAATTTTTGGTTTTGAAGAAGCAAAAAGTTGGATCAGCGGCAAGACATGAAATGGAGTAAGATAGAGAATACTTCATGAACAGAGAATCAAGAAATGAGAGCTATCAAATGACAGGAAAAGATTACGAAATCGCTTTCTTCTCTGCTTGGGTCCGAATCGAATAGAAATTCTATAATTCGAATACAACATTCGAAGATATTCGCATTCGAAATTCGATATTCGGAGTTCTTCCAGTTTCGAATAGTATTCGAAACTCGAATAATTGAGAAAACGGGGTTTCGAATAAAATTCGAAACTCGAATAATAAAAAAACAGGATTTCGAATATTATTCAAAAGCTCGAATAATTAAAAAACGGGGTTTCAAATAGATTTTATTCGGATGTTTTATTCGAATGTTTGTTCGGATTCGTATTCGAATAAACTGCGTTTTAAGATTATTCGAATTTGTTGCAGAACCAACTGCTGAGTATTAAGCTCACTTCATCCGCGTTTTTTGCAAAACTCGGTAATGCATCTTTTGCAACCGTTATGACCTTTGAACTGTATGGAGAGTTTCCTCCGAGTGCTCGTGACAGTAAAAAAAATCATATGTGGATTCTAACTGATGCTTTCCCGATCAAGGAGATTGCTTTACTGCTATTGGCACCAAACAATATGAGGGCTCGGTACTCGGGTCTCGACTGGCATAGCTTTCTCTTGGACAGAGGAAATGGTTCCAACAGCGATGAGGAATGGCGCGTCGTTTTGCAGGAGAGTACAATGTGCACTAGAAACATTGTCACGGAGATCTTCGGTGATGTCATTGAGCCACATGAGACCCTTGCGAGCGAGCCATTCTCACTCCGAAAAATGTGAATGTGAGGCAACTCAATGATGAAGCTATGCAGCGTTTACGAATTCAGTGTGAACGAGACAGAAAATACTGCTGGAGCGTGGATGAGGCTGTTCAACAAGGTGGAGATGCTGAATATTCAGTTATATCTGAACAGTCTTGAACTACCGGGAATGCCGCCGCACGTGTTGAGACTGAAGAAGGGTGCAATTGTCATGCTATCACGTAATCTGGATGTCACAAATGGACTTTGTAACGGAATGCGATTGAAAGCTGAATGGCTAGGACGGGCAACTCTATGTGGCTTTTTCTCGAGTCCGATCGCCAGTAGGTTTGAAAGTTAGTGCTCCAGGAAGGGCGGTGAAGAACATTGTGTACGAGGAAGTTCTGCTCTGATGAAACTTATGCCTTGACTTTTGCAAAGGTAACGGTGCGTATTTATGCTTAAAGGCAGCGTCCCGGCAAAAACTCGATTTTCGGTTTTCTGCGTTTTTGAGGCTTTCTCGGGACGCTGATTACATAGATGAGGCTTGTAGCGCTTCAAAATGGCGAAAAGGTGCTTTTTTCAGAAGCTCTTCAGGGTGGACATGGACGAGTTATACGCTGCGGCGCACACCGTTGCTTGGCGCCTCGTTGTTCAAATATGCGCAATCGATTTCTCATTCGTATTTGCATGATTCAGTCTCTCGCGTCTTTTCCATTAGTTTTCGTCGTACTTTAATCTTCCTGTTTGTGGATTCGGTTTTCGCAACTTTTCTCAGGCCTTATTCCGAATCAAAACACCATTCAAGACTTCTTTTTTCAGGCTAGTGAATTATTGTCATGTATACTGAGGGCCGTAGTAGTCAATGAAGGCTGGGTGAACGTGTACAGGTATACTAGCTTTTTTGATTCTACTCGAGCACAGCGTGTTACACTGGTTTCCAGGTCCAGTAAGACGAACAAGTTTGGCATCGATTTGTGTGGAATTTGCAGCATGGAATCAAGAGGTGCGTTACTACCATTGCTTTGCTTTCTATCTTCATGCCATTCTTTTTTCTCAACTTTACCCCTTTTCTTTTCAATCATTACGTGTTTATGCGATGCTTACGTATGTTTCAGGTCTATTGGAGTGCGGGATCCTGCACGGAGATCATTGATTATTTGCTGACATCGCTGCGCTGAGGTATTACGAAATAGGTACGTCTATCTTTCTTCCTCCTCTACGCCATTACGAAATACATACGTACATGTGCACCTTCTTATACTTCCTCATTTCATTGTTAATACTTCTATTGCTTCATTGTAGTGTTGTTTTCAAGAGACAAGTCTTTGTCCTACCCGAGTTTGAGTCCCCTAGATCTAAATTCTATAATTTGCACGGGCAAATCAGCATAGTAATGTTCACCTAAAGTTTTTGCAGGTCTGGAGGTTCCAATGGACGGAAATGCATATTTTGTTTGTGGATCACAACGTCTCCAGATGTTCCATAACAGGTGCGCCAGCAATCATTTTTCTTTTCCTTTGTTATTTTTCTAATGTGTTCTTCTCATTTTACTTTCTTTTTCAAGTTTGAACATGTATGATTTGATGGCTCATGTTCCTCTCATGTCCCGCGGGGGCTAGCGCGTTAATTAACGGGAGAGTCACTTGAATTATGCCTTGTCACACTGAGAAGACCAAATGGCCTCCTCATGGCGGCCGTAGGTGCCAGTGTTCAGGGTTGGGCTTAGTACCCCCTGAGCACTGGTAACTATGACGCTACCCTTCAGTGTGTTCACTCTTTGCTGAGAATGACGACAAATATGACTAACATAATACGGTAGTGCGTTTTTGATGTTCCCTTTTATCTTGCTCAATCGGTAAAACTCAAAGATAGCAGTTTCCAAATTTACCGCAAATGGTTACAATCGACTCCTAATAGTGAAGAATGCAAAAGAGCTAAGACTGTAGCATTTACAAGAGGTGCCTAATTGTCTTTGGTGTGTGTAACTCGTTGCTTTTTCTTTTTTCATCGCCGACTTTCCTAGACACTCATTTTGGTAGCTAAGTTTGGTCCATTTCATCTCCTGTTGGTGTAGATTGCACTGGCGGTGGAGCTGATCGCTGCATTACCGTCCTCATGAAAATTTCCTTTCTCCACAAATGCGCTACGCGCGTCTTCTGGTGGATCTTTGTTGGGCGTTTGCTGAATTTGCGACGGGTTATGCTCGTGCGCTCGATCCTGCGCTCCCCTCGCAGCTCCGCCAGACGAAGTGTGTTGAGGTGCATTGTAGAAAGTTTCACGTACGAGGAATATGTGGATGGCGGGCTGAAAGACATTCTTTTCAAAGTCATTGGTACACTGATATAATGTATGCCACTTACAGATATATGTTCTTGGGGCAGTAGATACGGTCCAGCTAGTTTTTGCTTTCGCATCGGCTCGTGCCTCCAAGGGGGCTGGCCTTGGCGAGATCCTTCTGGAACTGAGCCTGCAGGAGTATATCCTTTAGTTTGTCATGCGCAGGACTCCCTATGGCTAATAACGGCTTTGGTGTTTGGTCGGCCGCTATACCATTATCATGGTCGCACCTTGTTATCAAACCAGTAAGGGCGTCCTAAATGGGCTGTTGCAGATAAGCCACTTGCTGAGTAGGATGGAGGCTATCACATGACGAAGGCGCAGAAGCAGTTTTATTTGAGCGGCGCGAACCACGCGCTCTTATCTTTAGCATAGTAAATCTTGCGCTTTGCGGCTAATGAAGCCGCGTTTGCACCTAAAGAGATTGCGCCTTCGTCATGCAGCAGCCTATACCTTCGTCCATCTGTGTTCGCCCGCGACGTGATGGAGGCAGGTGTTGAACACCTCTCTGATCAGCTCGGGATTCCTCGCTGTTGCCCCTTCTTTCACCGCATAATATAAATGCGTTTTGATCGCATCGATCCAGCTTTTCAGAGAATCGCAATTTTTGCTTTTGCCCCCTTTATTGTTTTCATTAGCTTGTTTTTGCACAAGACACTGCTTACCGTCTTTAGGCTATTGTTAATTCGTCTGGCCAAATGCCAGGGGTCAAGCATCCATTTGATGTTCGTCCCAAATTCGTTGTTGAACTCTCTGATTTCGGACCCATATACGGTGCTTCGGTCAGTCGACACCGAATTGAGGGGAATACCCCTAGCTTGGAACCACCGTAAGAGCCTGTGGAATCCTTCCTTTTCCATTCGGCCGCTGATGTCATCTGTAATCGTTATTATCCTAAGCATCAGGGTTTTGTGGAAGTTACGTTCAAGCTGTACTTGTCTCTGACGAGTGCACGATTTCGGTATGGATGTAAAGGTCGGTTTTGAGATCTACTGCCAGCACTTTGCAAATTTTGGCGCTGAACCCTCGCGAGTCATAAGCGCCGTCCACAGCTATATACCATGGCCTGGGACACCCGTTAATCTGAAAAGTCATTGATTTTGTTATAACTCTTCAGTTGAGATTTTTCTACCTCGTAGGACGATTTGATCTTTTCCATGATTTTGTTGTGGTGGTTCTCATACACTGTGGATATAGCTGGGCGAACCTCGTTGAAAAAACGATAAAAGGCGCTTTTTGCTGGCAAACTCAAGCCAATTTCCGACGCCCACTGTTTCACTCTCTAAAATATCTTGTTTTGGCACCGTAGTGTGTGTAGTTGTTTGTTTACATTCATTCGAATCCCTGTCGTGACAGCGGCTGCCATGGACAGCGCATTGCCGAGATATCGCTTGACCTTCGGGCTATCACTGACCCTCTCCTGACCGTCCCAACGCTTTATCTGTGAGCCCATCCTATACTGGATGAATGGGGCGGACCCACATTTAGCGAGGCGTACATCCTCATCTTCGGTGACACAGCCACAACGGCAGCGGCAAATGTAGAAGAGCTCCAGCAGTTTCTTTCCTTGGACAAGAGAGAACTTCTCTAGCATCTTTGGATCCGTTTTTTTCAGCGGCTTGATGGTTTCATCGCCCTCGTCGGATGGTGACGGTAGCTTTCCGGGAGTGAAAATTGAGCCGGTCTGAATTAAACGATTTTTGTTTCTCATTCGATGTCGTAGTCATCATTTTATCTTCCTGCTGACCGAGGTTTTCGCAGGGGACGAATCTTTTGAGAATGTTGTTTCGCTGGCCGCTGGCTGGCTTGGTTGAGGAGCGAATGTAGTTTGCTCCTCAGTTACTACCTGAAGTTGTTTGATATGCTGTGAATAATGAGAAAGGGCAACACTTCCTGATGGCCGGAATGTTCTTCTTCTTGAATCAACACCTTTTGATCATCAGAATATTCTTCCCCTTGAACTGCGGTGTGGGTTTGATGAAAATCCCATTCGCCTTCATTATAGTATTTGCGCAGGTAAATGTTTATGTACTGGTTGACGTCGTAGGTATTTACCATGATGTTTGCCTAACATGTATTCATACATTACAAAATCCTCTGCTGGCAAAACTAACTGAAAGCGATCTTGTTGCTTCATTCAAAATCCGTGGAATGTGTGGCGAAATTTCAGCTACATTGAGATATGCGACGTTTTCCGTTGTCATAGATAACCTTCCACCACTTGCCTCAACTTCCGACAACAGATATTCTGCTCGTAGATATAACATCGGCTTATTGTTTTGAGAATTGCGGGACTTACAGCACTCTTGGGGTGACTGATGCATATGTATTTTTGCTTTGTTTGAAATGTGGCTAACGCAATCTGCAGTATCTCTCGCGAAAGGGATGTATAAATCTTGAGCGCCGACAACATGATGGCATTATGTGCGTTGCTCTGGGACGAGCGTACTGCGAGACTGTGCTCTACCATGTTTCCGCAAAGAACGCATAGATGTCTAACCATGTTTGCAAACTACCTAAAAGAATTTTCAACTTTTTTACGTTGGCGAGTTTTGCCAGGGAGGTAGTAAAATTAGGCCGAATTACTACTGTTGTTCAAACCATACATGTTTCAAGAAACTGTTTTATTCGATAAGAAATTCACTATTCAACTCTCTCTTCTCATACCAATGAAGTAATTTCAGGAAACAGTAGCACCACATGTGGCCTTTGAGATATCAACTCTCCAGTTTCAAATTCTCAGGAAGCACAAATCTGTTATACCTGCTCCATCTGACTACGTCTCTCAAACTTTTGTTTCCGCTATTTTGAATCCTATTGTTTCTAGTGTTTGGTTATTACTTACTTTGACTCATAGTGCTGATTACTGTTCCATTTGTATGAGGCAACTAGTGTGCACAACTACTGATTCTTCTTTATCATTCATCAGAGTCATTACATCAATGCGTACTACACGATTTGTAATATACTTACTTCCAATGTGAAATAAACCTTCTGAGCATATGATTCTTTTGGAACTGGGAAAAACAATGACGAGTGAGAGTGCGACAGCAAATGAAACAACAAAGATCTGTCAACAGCAAAGCTTCATGAAAAATTGTAGAAACCAGAAGCTGAGAATTACGGAACATTTGTGGTTTACATCGCCATTCAGCTGCATATCCTTACATACATCGCGCTCCAATTCGAAGCTTGAAAGAATGGAGAATGAGCAACGCTTACTCTGAAAGAGTGCAAGTAGACGTAGAACATTTCGCGTTGCCAAGGTTTGTTCTTGAAAACTCAACTTAGACGGTATTTGAGACTTGCCGCAAGCAAACGAAAACGAATCGGCTCCCAAATGAGAAACTCGTTGTGCACTGAAGTTTTACAGCACTGATATGCACCAACACAGCGAACTTGCATCAAATCTTCCAACCTCATTTCAACATCCCAGCAGAATAGCAATATAACAATGACATTGGACATCTTGCACATACCATACTATGATAAGCATAGCTTCTTTTTGAGTCTTTCGACGCAAATTACCCTAAAGCTGAAAAAGCACTCACTGAAAATCAATGATATCCACTTTTGCTAGTTTTAGTAGGCTCTTTTTGCTAACTAAGCGTCCGAAACTCACCATGTTTGAGCGCATTGTTGTGGAGTGCACTGACCATCTTCTATATATTAACAACTTTCCTAAAAACAGTAGTGAATCAGGTCACACACATTACGTACGCGATGAAAGCGAGAAACATTATTGTTTTAAGTAAAAACATCAGCAATCGTAGACAATCGATTGATGTATTACAAGGCGCCAGGCAACGGTTATGCAATGGCTGCACAGTTGTAGGCTTCGGGTGTTCAATTAGGCGGTGGGCGGAGTCTGGAAAAAGGCGGGGTCCGTAAGATTTCCGAGACGAATTTTAGGCCTCTCACGTGCCCTTTTTTGCTGCGGATTTCACTGTTCGCTTAGTCTGAAGCCCTACCATTGCAACGCAGTGAGATCTAGGTACATCCCAATTTGAGGGGACGCTGCCTTTAAGAGGAATGCGATTTGTTTTCGTTAAGAATGGGGAAACATATTGGACTGAAGTTCAACGTCCATGACTAGCTATTTTTCAGCAATGAAATTAGATCTACGAACAATGAAAAAACAACCTGCAAAAAGTACTAAGCAGACTTTTATCGTGAGTGTGCTGCAATTCAGTAAAATCAGTTTAGATCACTCGAAATGATGATCAGATTGAGCTTCGGTTAAACTCAATCTGATCAAACCTCTGTAGAAATGAAAGTTACAACAGTAAGACATAACAACCTATTGGTCAACCTTTCACATATACACAGTTTATAGGTAAGAAAGTTGAGAGAAAGACAGAAATTTTGCACAAACTTATCTGAGATTACGTGAGTAGACTAAAATTATTCAGACTGCGCAGACAATGTAAGAAATTGTGTAAGACTTATTGCATTCAAAAAGAAACCGAAAGATACGCGCAGAGAAACAGTAAAAAGCGAGAAAGTTTTTGCACATTTCTTCTCACGAAGACAGCTAAAAATGGAAGTTATTACTCGGTAATATTATTCAGAAGAAATATTAAACCTGCACAATTCAAATTTAGACTATAAAAGATCTCTCCTAATCTTATGTCACAATCCAAGCATAACCCAAAAATTTCTGGAGAGAGGTGGCAGCAATACTCAGCTACCAGCTCCATGAAATGGAGTAAGATAGAGAATACTTCATGAACAGAGAATTAACATACAAATGACAGCTATCAAATGACAGGAAAAGATTACGAAATCGCTTTCTTCTCTACTTGGGTCCAAATCGAATAGAAATTCGATAATTCGAATAAAACATTCGAATATATTCGCATTCGAAATTCGATATTCGGAGTTCTTCCAGTTTCGAATAATATCGAAGCTCGATTAATTGAGAAAACGGGGTTTCGAATAAAATTCGAAACTCGAATAATAAAAAAACAGGATTTCGAATAATATCCGAAAGCTCGAATAATTAAAAAACGGGGTTTCAAATAGATTTTATTCGGATGTTTTATTCGAATGTTTGTTCGGATTCGTATTTGAATTAACTCCATTTTCAGATTATTCGACTTTGTTGCAGAACCAACTGCTGAGTATTAAGCTCACTTTATCCTCGTTTTTTCGCAGAACTCGGTAATGCATCTTTTGCAGCCGTTACGACCTTTGAACTGTATGGAGAGTTTCCTCCGACTGCTTGTGACAGTAAGAAAAATCATATGTGGATTCTAACTGATGCTTTCCCGATCAAGGAGATTGCTTTTACTGCTATTGGCACCAAATCTGCAAAAAAGCCATCAAATTCAAGATCATGTCCCGAGTTTATATACTGGAAGTGTGTTGACATGCCTGTTTTTCTTCCTTTGCATTGCTGATGCTTGTGGTACGCAAGGTCCACACTAATGAGCACTCTTGCTTGCAAAAGTCTGCACAACTACTTCTATTTTTACCTCAGGGATATTTTGCGAATTGGTTATTTTGATTGAAGGATATCGCGCTGTAGTGGAGGATTAAACGGTTGCTAAAGTTTGCAGTTATATCACTTCTAAACTTTTGTTCATTAGATAGTACAGGATAATTCTATTATCAGGAGTTTACAAGCACTTTAACACCGGAAGCTATCAGCCTACCAACTATGGTAAAGGCTGAAGGCGGACGAAGAGGGCCCACATTGAGAAATGCGAGCTTTGATTATGACATACTTCACGCAATATCCTTACGCGATTTGCCAGTTACGAGATGTCCTCAAATGTAACGCCAGCTTACCACAAATGTGTAGCGCGTACAACTTTCTAAACAAATAAGGGCCTTGCATTCTCTACTTCTAAAATCCGCACGATAAGTTATGAACAATTTGACTATTGCCAAACCACGTCGCTGCTGAAATGCCTGCAGTGTGCCTGGGCTATAGGAGCATTAGTGCTCGCTTCGCTGAATAAACCATGCCTTCTACGACTAGCTACCACACAAGACGAACATCTCCGATGAGCTGAGAGTTGGTACGGGGGGGGGGGGTAAGTGAGAGTGCTGATTACGAATAAACATCTACTTTATCGATTTTGTTAATTTTCACAGAACTTCGAGCTACGAGACTGGAAGTTGGTACAGAGGGAGGGGGTGAGTGAGGGTGCTGATTATGAATGAAATTTCATTTTATCGATTTTAACGATCTTTGGAAATTGTGAGTTACGAGGTTGGGAATTGGCACAGGGGTAAAGGAGGGTGCTGTTTGAAACTGAAACCTGTTGTATCGATTTCAGCGATTTTTGCGAAAACCTTGAGCTTGGAGTTGGTATACGGGATATGAGGGTGCTGATTATGAACTGATTATGAATGGATCGGCTTTAGCTGAATACTAGCTGGCTTACTCGGCTCCGCCAGGCTCTGTCAAAAATGATAAAGGTTCCATTCCTGTCCTTATGCAACCTTTCCCTACGCCAACTTCTACATGTAATTCCCTACCGCTGTGTAGTACCTATCTTCCTCAATAACCCCAGCTCCGTAGCTAAAACTTTGCAAAAAATCAATAAAATCGGTAAAAGTAACGGATGATTCTAAAAACTGAGGGGGCTATTCGGCTATCTGGGCCCCAAAATGTTTATGTGACGGATCTTGCTCAAACTCAATGTATGGGAATTCGCTGATGACAAATATCGTAGATTTCGCGTGGCAGCGGGTAAAGGTCATGAACCTGCCTGAAACCTTGGCAAGGAATTACCTAAAGTGCTGTTTCAAGAGTATCGTGTTTAATCCCCATGATAAAGGCAATTCGTGTGGTATGAAAGATTCCCACGACCGTAGTGTTTTCCTTATGCGACCACTGCCGCGCGCGATACATCCTTCGGCGGTTTTGCCTAAGCAAAAATAGGGGAAGGGAGTTTTGCCGCGTGCGTTACGCGTTGGGACAGATTATTAGGATGGCGCTGGAGGCCGCCATGTAAAACGACCGTTTCCCCATTCCTTGAATATCTGGGATCTAAATTGTCCCGCAAGCAAAAAAATGTACATTCAATCCCTGCAACTCACCATAACTTCACAATAATGCGTTATGACGGCGAAAGCATCATATTCATAAGCAGTATGCTTGTGAACCGTTACAGGTAAGGTTTGGAGCAAATCTGGAACTTGGACCCATCCATCTACTGTACACCCACAGTAACCCAAGAAAATGTATCCTGCGAAATCAGCATGATATTCATGTTCAGCGCGCTAAATGACCACCCTAGACGAAGTTCAAAGCAAATCTGTTTCGATCCCATACCGTGTAACCGCCATAACTCTATGAAAAGGTCCCAATATGCAGAGAGAGCATGAAATTCGTAATTAGCATGTCTAATAAGTTCTCTGGACCAAACTCCAGCCGAATTCATGATTTTGACTTCCTACCGTACACCTATCGTAACCACACAGGTAGACGTTCTACGGAGAAACTGTGATATCTGTAATCAGCATGCAAGATAACCCTTATTCACGAAGTTTGAGCAAGCTCTACGACAAAAAAATTTTGAGGTCCGGATAGCCGAAGAGCGCCAAGCTAATATTGTACTCGTAATCAGCATGCTCGATAACCCCCTGTGCCAACTCCCAGCCCCGTAGCTCAAACTTCGCAAAAAATCGATAAAATCGATAAAAGTAGCGGACAATTTCAAAACTAATATTGTAATCGTAATCAGCATGCTCGATTACCCCCTGTGCCAAATCCACGTAGGCGAACTCTGCACAGAAATCAATACAAATTAATGAAATCGATATCGATCGATGACGAAAAGTAGCCTATGACACCCGCCCCGCCCCGAGCTGTTGTTTTCCAAGTTTGGTCCGGATCGGTTCAGAAATAAAAATTTTTATTCGGATCATACGTACATACATACAGACATACAGACAGACATACATACAGAGATACAAACAAACAGACATTCAGCTTTATGTATAAGACTAGTGACCCGTAGGGTCGCTAGTATATGGATGGGGGCATATATCTGATACATATTGATATCTGCCATTAGTTAATTAAAATTCCCAAAATAGAGAATTTCCATCTTCTCAGCGACCATTCGCGTGTTGTGAGTAGTAGAAACAAAACATTATGAAACACAACATTAAGAATTTTCGTAGGATTTTTATGAACTGAGTTACGATTTTTTTTCGATTTTTTGGGCTGCTAATTCTTTTTAGTTTTTGGCTCAATACTCCAGGTGGATGAGAGCTGTTGCAAAAGCAAGAAGGCTCTCTTGTAGAGCTTGCTTTGCTTCATCAAATGGTACTTTGCAACCTACTTAGAAGTGAAAAGTGCATGACTTGTTACGATTGAAATTTAAAACGGGCATTAATTTCCGGACAACCTAATAGAATGGCCAGAAGTAAAATTTAAGCAAGTTTCTGTATAGTCATTAACACCCAGAAACTTCTGGCGGAAGTATCTTGCTGCCTGAAGACATAATTCTTTCTTCCCCCGAGACCAGGCTCTTTGTGCTATTCTGATTTTAGCGGCAGAAGTAGGATTTTGAAAGATGAAGGCGGGCAAAAGTGAATTTATAACAACTTTAGGTAAGTTTACCGTCTTCGTCAATTTTGAGTGTGATTATAGAATTCCCAGCAATTCACCTACCC